AGCAATCCAATTGCTAATAGCTCTAAGCTACTCTCGGTTTAATAAAACGTCGCATCTAATGCATTCCTGACATTTTATCTCTTTTGCCATGACATCTAAGGACTCCTTACTTATATCGTTGAGCTTAACCAAGATCAACTCGTATACTTAGTATACCTTACGTTCCTAGGGAAGTAGTGATGCCTCGCTTTGGCGTAGCCCATCACGTACGCCCATTAGTTCAGTAAGTGTTGTTCTTGGAACAACAAATTTTAGCTCAATATTTTAAGTGACCTAGGGTTTCTATGTTGGTTGATTTAAGTGAACTTAACTAATCATCACAACATATCGAAATCCTAAACATGCATCTATCATTCACAATATATATATATATATATATATATATATATATATACATATATATATATATATGTATATATATATATATATGAACATAACAACAATATATATAAGGCATAAATTTGATGCATTTGGCAACTAGCATGACCCCTTGAAATCTTCAAATCTTCAAGGGTCTTCATCTTGGCTCGTCTTCATCGAAACGCCGTCTTCAGACATCTTTGCCAAAATAAAATTACTAGCTACTACGACTAAGATTAATCTAAAGTACAAAAATACTTAACGGTACGCAGACCGTATTTAGATTTACAAAAATACGTAACGGAACACAGACCATATTTTCTATCCTAGTCGGGTCCCACTAGTTGCCATTTTTCTCAAAACCTGTTTTGAAACAATCTTTCATTCACCCATTCACTATTTGTGAATGACCCATGCATTTTAAGAGATAAAAACAAGTAAACACGCAAAACTAGTAACTAACTTAGGTGGTTAATCCAATTAACGCGCCTAATTAAAGCTAGTCAAAGTTGTTTAATAAATTAGGTATCACTAAGGTGCAATATGTACACGTAATTAGCTAAGCTCCCATTAAATTCTGCATCCAACTTAATCAATCCAATTAATTAAGCCAGTTAACCCAAATTTGTCAAAATCAAAAATTTTGCAAGACCCGGAAAATTCGAGGTCCAACCTCGTTAAAATAATTACATAAATATTTTAAAACGGCAAAATTTTCGCAAAACACATAGCCCGAAATTAAGCAAAAACAGCTCGCTCGTATCCTTGTAGATTGCGCACCATGGCTGCTAGGCAGCCCATGGGAGGTGCTTGGTGCGTGGTGCTAGCATGCAGCGCGTAGCGTAGCATGCTACGCTGCTAGCACCAGCAGCCTGCCTTGCATGCTGCGCATGCTGGCTAGCACGCTGGCGCCTGCCAGCAAGTGGCGGGCTGGCTAGGGCTTGCTGCCGTGCTGCCCAGCAGCATACCCAAGCGCTCCAGCAGCCTTGGCCCATTGCCCACGCATCAGCGCCCCTGCATTCCTCGCTACACAGCAGCACAACATCAAGGCACAGCCCTGTGCGCACCATAGGCAGCCACATGCGGGTTGCGTGGGCAGCCCGGCTAGCCTTGGTGGCGCTTGGGGTTTTTGCCTCGATTTGCGTGCATTTTTCTCGGAATTTTAATCCCGATATACTTCTGACGTAAAATTAATCTAAATTTATTTTAGAATTAATTTAGGGCAAAATGAAAATAAAATAAGTCCAACTTAATTAAATTCAATTTTAATGGTGTGCAAGCCTAAATTTCCAAAATTACCTTGGAATATTTTAGGTCTTTCTTGATGCTTAAAATTGAAAAGGCTATGTCCATAATTAATTTAACCAATATGCAAATTAACAATGGATTTTGACAAATAGGGAGTTGGAAAAATAAACTAATCATCCAATGAAATTTTTTTTTTTCCAACTTTTATACTTGTGTAAAATAACAAGATTACATCTTCCAATATGAAGATTAATAAAAAATAATCACAAGCATTTGAACTTTAAGGATTTTAATCAATCAAATATGAAAAAATCCAAAATTAGTTCAACATGGAATTTAGAGTCAAGATTCCAACCATTTAAACATTTAAAGATTGGATATTTAACATGCTAGGAACTTTAACATTACCACATTCACAATAAACATTCACTTATTAATGCAATAATTTATTTGCATAATTGTGAAAAACAAGTTTATGTGAAAAAGAACATATCAACTTAAGCACACATTATAACTCCATAATCATGCTTAAAAGAAATTTAAATTGCAGTAGATTAGGGATGCAATAATGCATTTAATCTACCCTTGACATGCTTGCATTAATCAAGGCATAAAAGATTTAAAATTTTCGTTAAAAATGAAAAAACCCTCAAAAAATAGGTTTCTGATTCGAATTTGGCTTCTGGACAGTTCTCGAAGAAGGTTGAAACTGATTTAGAACGTCGATTCCACCCAAAAAACAATATTTTTGAGCCAAAATCAGAGTTCCCAGGCCAAAAACCGAAAAATACGAGATTACAACTAATTTAAAACGTACTTCTAATCTAATTAGAAAAGCAAAACCAGAATTTAAATCTACTTTAAAACACCTTAATTAATAAATAATTGCAATAATTAAAAGCAGCACGGCTCCGATACCGTTGTAGGGTTTCGTAGAGACCCACTTTACGCGTAAGGAAACCCACCAAGACCCGCCCCGATAACTAAAGCAATTAAAGCATGCAAAACATAATTAATACATAATTAAGAGAAAAGGGAGAAAAGGTTATACCCTAGACACGTGCTTCGCTCACCAAAAGAGCTCTTACTTGAACCCCACAATCGCAAGGTCTCCGACGGCTCGTACCCACGAACCTCGACCCGAGCGATCCAAGTCCCGAACGTTAGTCGGGACCCGATAAAATAAAAAGGGAGTTTTACGAACTTAAGGCTTTCTGAACTGTTGGAGATACCTTTTGAGTTCTACTCAAGTTGTGTGTATTCTCAAAATCCCAACCAAGGGGTATTTATAGAGAATGGGGACTTGAATCCCATTTCATGATCAATGTGGGATCATGTGCAAATGCACTAATTTATTTAATTCTAAAATAAATTATTAAGCAAATGCAATCACATAGCAACAAGTGGCAAGAGGGGAGAATGGGTTAGGTGAGGACCATATCCCATGGGGGGACCATAGCCTTGCTCCCCAAGGGAAGCCTTGCGGCCTTGGTCCCCACCTCTCCTAAACCGCCACTCACAAAGGGCAGCTGGGCTGGCAGCCAGCTAGCACGCCAGCACACCCCAGCCAGCTTACGGTGCCAGCGCACACTGGCCCCAGCACACCCATCATATGCGTGTTGCATGCTGTTGGGTTGCTGGGCGCTGATAGCGTAGTGCTCCTTCCTAGCCAACGCACACACACACGCATAGCCTTGCTGGCTGGTACGTAGTGTTGGCCCCTGTCTCTCGCACATGCGCACAACACATATGCTTGATGGCTGGTGTGTGGTGATAGGCCTAGGCATACACACACACACACACACGCAAGTGCCTAGCACTGCGATGGTGCAGTGTTGTGCGAAGGCACACACGCACGCACACACGTTAGTGCCTAGCACTGCGATGGTGCTGTGCTATGCGAAGACACACACGCACGCACACACGCTAATGCCTAGCCATGCATTGTGCATGCTAGCTCGAGCTAGCCTAGCGTCCACATGGTTAGGCCATACTGATGCTACGGCTACGCTCGAACTTGTTGCTTGTGATTTTGCGACGCTCGGTTTCGACGCCCTAGGCTCGATATCCGACGTCTGTGTTCGTAAAACTCCGAAGACTCATCGAATCCTTCAGATTGATTTGCCGTCTCGGATCGGTTGTTCGATTGGGTTCGACCTGAAGGGTTCAGTTAAGATTAAGATGTAATATTAATTGTACCTTAATATTACTTATCGGAAGCGGCCTCCACCTAGGCATTCCGATCACTTGACCTTACTGAAGAATTAGCTCTGTAATAATTCTGAACCCTCTATCAGAATAATACACTTGTTGGAAGGACACCATTCCTTTCAACGCCTTGATGGACTCAAGTATGGAAAGGGAATCAATCAGCAAGGCGGTAAGGAAAGCATACCAAAAATACATAATGCCGCAAGGAAAGAAGAATAAACAAGCAAAGATCTTCTTCTTTTGAATATATTCTGTAAATACTTGTAAATCCTAGGTATCCCTAAGTATAAATAACTAACAAAACATGTACAACCTCATTCATACATTAATACTCGAAATATATGCAAGTTACTTACAAATTTTGTGTTCATTCTGATCAAGGAGACCATCCTTATTTAGTATTGCCTTCTTTACACTTATTTCTTTGTTAGTTTACTCATTCTTTATTGCGCTATTGTTCTTGGTTATTATGATTGTTATTTGCAGGATTTTTTATTGTTACCCCTAAAACCTTTTAAATTCCAAGAATCATCCCTCTAAGATTTGCCCTAAACAATTTGGCGCCCACCGTGGGGCTGATAATCAGTTAACCTGCCAAAAACTCTCTAAAAAGACAAAAAGAAACACCTTCCAAGCATAACAGGACAACCAGTACCCTTCACCATAGCCGAAATCATGAGGGAATGAATGCATTCCGCCAAACCTTAGACCAATAGAAAAGCCAGATCGAAACCCTATTTGCTAAAAAAGTTCAAACAGAGGCAAAACTCCCTAGCCTAACTAAACAAAATGAAGCCCTCCGCAACCAAATACAGTCGGTTGCATCCAAAACAGTCAATTCCAGAAAGAATACTGAAAGCATAGCCATGCAACTTGATTTGTCAGGAGCTTTCCATACCCCTACTAATGGGGAAAAAGTAGCTAACAACAGGGACGCAACCCTGGATGAACACTAGTAGAAAAACATAAATGAGCACCGCAAAATGCGCACTAGTTTTTAAAAATCGGTGCCAAAAAAATAGGCGGGATTGAGGGAAAGAGTAATCGCACCGGTTCAAACCAAACCGGTGCGAAATGATGTGATTAGCACCGGTTCAAACCAAACCGGTACCAATTGTAATAAAAAAAACGTCCCTTTTCCTTCTTTCTCTTTCCCCTCTTCTTTCTTTCTGTTTCCTCAGTCTTGTTTTATCTCTCTCTCCTCTTTCCTCTCTCCTCAAACAAACCCTAATCAACAAAGATGCAGCAGCAAACCAAGCTTCAATGGGGCGAAGTAGACGAAGATAAGAGAAGAGAGAAAGAGGGAGACGATTAAAGCTCATCTTCCCCCTCTTCTGGTATGCTGCCATAGCCGTCCTCCTGAAATTGCTTAGAAATGCTTCTTGGGAGCTCGGTATTCAGGTATTTCTCTCTTTCTCTTTCTAGATCAATCTTTTTTTCTTTCATTTTTGCAATTTCATGTTGTTCTAGATCTACACTTAAATTCTCGGATTTTATTTTGGTTATAGTTGTTGATTCTTTCAACTTAGGGTTTTTGTAAATTTTCCGAAATTGCAGATCCGAAGATGAATGAGACCGATGTCCAAAAGCAAATCCAGCAGATGGTTAGATTCATCCGCCAAGAAGCGGAGGAAAAGGCTAACGAGATCTCTATTGCTGCCGAAGAAGTAAGCGAAATGCTTGATTTTTGTTTTTTTAAACGAAAACCAAAATTAAAAAGTTGTAATAAAATTAATTGTATTTAATTAGATTGGGAAGTATATACCTGGGAAAAAAAAAAGGGAAAGCTTGCTGGTATAATGGTGGTTCACTATTTTTGACAATTATTTAATCAAAAAGTTCATGTATTGAAAGTGGTGTTCCATGATGTGTTGAATTATTCTATTTTTATTGATTTTTATAATGTTAATTCACTTTATTTTTTAGGAACTTCAAATTAATATGTATGTATCACAATTTTGCAAATTCTTGAATCAGAAGGTCTGACATAGATTTGGGTTTTTTTCAATCAAATTTGAAGATTGGCTTTAACTAATTAGTGATTGTATTTTTGGCTTTGAATTTGAAATTGAAATTTTCAAGGTTAAAGATGGTTTTACTAGTGATGTAGTATACAATAAAAGAGCCATAGCACTTTATTCTAGTGGTTGTGGATCTCTTGCTCTTTAAATATGGGTTGCTTTCATTCTACTGCAAGTAGGCTGCAATGTCCTGGAAACGAAGACCCGGTTTTCCTTGCTTCTCAAACTGCTTGTAAGCTCTTCCATCTATATTTACTGTTGTGCGACAGCGGAAGCAAAGGTCGTAAACAAACAAGAAAACAATAAAGAAATTCAATGCAAACAATAAGAACAACACCAAGAATTTACGTGGTTCACTATCGATGTGATAGCTACGTCCACGGGCACCGAGATCGAATGATTTCACTATAAACTGCAAAGATTACAAAGATGATTCTTGTATTTCTCAAGAACGGCTTTCACTCTGTCTCTCTTAACCCTAATACTGATATTAGGGAGGTTTTATATTAATCCCTAATTAAAAGATACTTGGGCAAAAAGATAATAAAATAAGATAACCTAAAACCGCAAAATCCGCGTTCCGTATTTTTCCTTCTCCGCCCGGTCAGACCGGGCAAGGTCTGCCCGATCGGGCGCGAGAAGAAAACTCCATACGAATGCTTCAACGTATCCAACCCCCACCGCCCGGTCAGACCGGGCAAGGTCTGCCCGATCGGGCGAAGGCTCGCCCGGTCGGGCGAAGGCTCGCCCGGTCGGGCGCGAGAGCAGCTTCTTCAACGAATTTGCCAGGCACCTCTTCTTCTTCCGCCCGGTCAGACCGGGCAATGTCCGCCCGATCGGGCGGACAAAGCTACGAAGTACGAGTCACCTAATATACTTATCAACAATCTCCACCTTGACGAGAACTCGTAGTCAGCAAACGACCCCATCAAGACATAGTGAAAAAACATCTCAAGCCAAACCCGATGCAAGACTCATGCATAAGCCATACATCCCGATAAGTCTTCAACCAAGACCCATCACATACTCGTCTCCAAGTATAACAACTCATAATGCTCCACCTGCATCACAAGCCCCGGGCAAGCTCCACCTTAATGCCAACACACCTACACCAGGAGCTCCCCAACTTCGCCCCTCAGGGCCTACTACATCACGTAGTAATCAATATTTAACAAGTCTAAGCAATGTTTAAACTTGCTAAACGGAACAGGCTTAGTGAAGAAATCAGCCGGGTTGTCAGCAGTCCCAATCTTCTTCACCTTAATCCTCTTGTCAGTACGTAAGAAATGATACCTGACATCAATGTGCTTCGTCCGATCATGGTGTACTTGATCTTTAGCTAAGCAAATCGCACTTAGACTATCACAATACACTGTAGCAAAATCCTGTGCAATACCCAGTTCACCTACTAGGCCTTTGAGCCAAATAGACTCCTTAGCTGCAGAAGTTAAAGCCATATACTCAGCTTCAGTAGTTGACAACGTAACTGATGACTGCAATGTAGACTTCCAACTAACCACAGAACCACCCAAAGTGAACACATAACCAGTCACAGACCTCCTGGTATCCACATCAGCTGCATAATCAGAATCACTGTACCCAGTGACCAAGCATTCCTTACCATTCCCGTACACAAGACCAATATCAGCTGTCCCTCTCAGGTAGCGAAAAATCCTTTTCACCCCTTGCCAGTGTTCCCTCCCAGGTCGAGCCATAAACCTGCTTACAACACTAACAGCATGCGCAATATCCGGCCTAGTACAGACCATAGCATACATCAAACAACCAACCGCGTTTGCATATGGAACTCTAGACATATAAGACAACTCCTCCTCTGATTGAGGTGACATAGACAAAGACAACTTACAACTAACAGTAGTTGGCGTACTTATAGGCTTCGATTTTTCCATCCCAAAACGAGACAGAATCTTTTCAATGTAGCTTTTCTGAGTCAAGAAAAGCTTACCTCTAGCCCGATCCCTGTAGATCTCCTTACCCAAAATCTTCCTAGCTGCACCCAAGTCTTTCATGTCAAACTCCGAGTTAAGCATCTCCTTTAATCTTTTGTACCACTGTCGGGGGGATTGCTTAAGTCCATACAATGACTTTAGCAATCTGCAGGCATAGTGTTCCTTTCCAGGAGCTTCGAATCCTTCGGGCTGCTTCATCAGAATCTCCTCCTCCAAATCGCCATGAAGGAAGGCCGTTTTAACATCCAACTGCTCCAGCTCAAGATCAAAATGTGCTACAATTGACAATAACACACGGATAGAAGTATGTCGAACCACAGGTGAGAATATCTCAACAAAGTCAACCCCTTCTACCTGACTGAACCCCTTAGCAACTAGCCTAGCCTTAAAACGTATTTGCTCAGTTTCCGACAACCCTTCTTTCTTCTTGTAAATCCATTTACAACCCACAAGCTTCCTCCCTTCCGGTACCTTTACCAGTTCCCACACTCTGTTCTTGTAAAGGGACTGCATCTCTTCACCCATTGCGGCAAGCCATTGCGCAGACTCACTACAACTAATTGCTTGTTTATATGTGGCAGGTTCAAATGACTCTACATCATCAGCTACACTCAATGCATAACCTGTCATCGCATCAACACAGCAATTTCTTCCCTCCATCTCTTCAATCAATCTAACAGGCTTCTTGATAACTCGTTTAGGCATCTCAAGAATGGTGTCAGGTTGACTAGATGACCCCTGATTAGATTGCTCCACCTCATCCCCAGAGTTAGAATGAGTAGGAGTAATCTCAGGTTCAGGAGTACCCGGCACTGGAACATCAGCATCATCATCAATATATTGTACCCGAGGTAAATCAGCAATGGTAGACTGATGTACCTCAAGTACCCCATCTGTCTGTAATAAATTGTCTCCTTCCCTTCTCAAATCTGAAATCTCTGCATTTTTAATTGAATACATGGTGTTTTCATCGAAAGTAACATCCCTACTAAGAATGACCCGACCCTCCGAAGGTGAAAAAATTCTAAACCCCTTCACACCATCCCCGTACCCAACAAAACACCCCTTCTTGGCTCGTGGATCCAGCTTACCCTCAATAACATGATAATAAGCAACACAACCAAAAATCTTCAAATTCGAAAAATTAGGCAACTTACCACTCCAGATCTCAAACGGAATCTTGGAATCAATTCCAGAATGAGGACCCCTATTAATGACATAACAAGCTGTTAACACAGCTTCACTCCAGTACCTCCTCCCAAGCCCTGCATTAGAGAGCATGCATCGGACTCTCTCTAGCAGTGTCTGATTAACCCGTTCTGCTACACCGTTCTGCTGTGGTGTCTTCCTGACAGTATGATGCCGACCTATACCCTCATCTGCACAGAACTGATTAAACTCGTCTTTGCAAAACTCTAGCCCATTGTCCGTTCGTAGCTTCTTGATCTTCCTTCCTTGTCGATTTTCCACCAAAGCTTTCCATTGCTTGAAAACTTTGAAGGCCTCATCCTTTGACTTAAGCAACCTAAGCCATGTGTATCGGGACTTGTCATCAACAAATGACACAAAATAGTGGTAACCTCCCATACCTTCAACTCTAGATGGACCCCAGCAATCTGAATGGATGTAATCGAGCACTGCATCAGTAATGTGAGCACCCTTGCTGAACTTTGACCTGTGTTTCTTACCAAACACACAATGCTCACAAAATTCAAGGTTGGCAACCTTGACCCCGGATAGAAGACCCCTCTTGGACAATAGCTGCATCCCCTTCTCCCCCATATGACCAAGCCTCATGTGCCAAATCTTAGTCATCTCCTGGTGAGATACAGATGCGCAAACCGCAGAACTAGGCAGTGTAACACCCTCAAAAACATAGAGGGTGTTCCTTTTGATACCCTTAAGTACCAACTCAGAACCTCTGAAAATACACAACTCCCCATCTGAAAACACACCATTGTACCCCAATTCATCCAGGGTACCCAATGAAATCAGATTCTTTCCTAAAGCAGGAACATGCCGTACATTAGTCAAAGTTAACCTCCGCCCATCAACAGTCCTCAACCTCATGGAACCAATACCTGTGACCTTACATGGAGCATTGTTACCGACTATAACCATACCCCCATTGCGAGGTTCATATGTATCAAACCAATCTCGACGTGGACACATATGGAACGAACACCCCGAATCTAGAACCCAGTTATCAGATAAATCATCAGACCTAGCAGAACTGACTAATGCTAAATCTTCCTCTGAATTATAGCTCTCATTCGGTTTCTCTTCAACTACAGCAGCCTGGGACTTGTTTTTCCTCACCGGACAATTATTCCTAAAGTGACCCGGTTCTTTACAGTAATAACATGTTTTAGTAGTAGTTTTACTAGATCCATCCTTGCCGTTTCCAGCACCCGACCCAGCATTGTTCCCCTTGTTAAACCCCTTATTCTTTTTAGACTTTCCGGACTTAACAAACAACCCACTACCATTATCCCCATTATCACTCGTAGCTTTCATTCTGAGTTCCCTAGTATGAAGTGCTGCCTTCACTTCTTCTAAGGTTATAGAATCCTTACCAACAACAAAAGACTCTACAAAATTCTCAAAGCTAGACGGTAGAGATACAAGTAAAATCAACGCAGCATCCTCATCATCAATTTTAACATCTAAATTACGTAAATCAAGCAAAATAGAGTTAAGTTTTTCTAGATGTTCCCGTAAGGAAGTACCTGACTGCATCCGGAGGCTAAACAACCGCTGTTTCAGTAATAATTTGTTGGTCAACGACTTAGTCATATACAATGACTCCAGCTTCAGCCACAATCCAGCCGCCGTTTCCTGATCAGCCACCTCCGTGATGATTTGATCATCAAGACTAAGTAATATGGTAGAGTGTGCCTTCTCTTCCATAACTTCTAACTGCGAGTCAGTCGGTCCGTCTCCTGACTCCGAAGTAGTACTCTTTGGAGCCAACGGACGCCATATCTGCTGTTGTTTTAACAGAGCCTTCATCTTAATTTGCCATAGCCCGAAACTATTTTTCCCGGTAAACTTCTCAATTCTTATTGTTGAATCTCCTGCCATTGTTATCTTCAAGAAACTCTCCAAGGATTGAACCTGAGCTCTTGATACCAATTGTTGTGCGACAGCGGAAGCAAAGGTCGTAAACAAACAAGAAAACAATAAAGAAATTCAATGCAAACAATAAGAACAACACCAAGAATTTACGTGGTTCACTATCGATGTGATAGCTACGTCCACGGGCACCGAGATCGAATGATTTCACTATAAACTGCAAAGATTACAAAGATGATTCTTGTATTTCTCAAGAACGGCTTTCACTCTGTCTCTCTTAACCCTAATACTGATATTAGGGAGGTTTTATATTAATCCCTAATTAAAAGATACTTGGGCAAAAAGATAATAAAATAAGATAACCTAAAACCGCAAAATCCGCGTTCCGTATTTTTCCTTCTCCGCCCGGTCAGACCGGGCAAGGTCTGCCCGATCGGGCGCGAGAAGAAAACTCCATACGAATGCTTCAACGTATCCAACCCCCACCGCCCGGTCAGACCGGGCAAGGTCTGCCCGATCGGGCGAAGGCTCGCCCGGTCGGGCGAAGGCTCGCCCGGTCGGGCGCGAGAGCAGCTTCTTCAACGAATTTGCCAGGCACCTCTTCTTCTTCCGCCCGGTCAGACCGGGCAATGTCCGCCCGATCGGGCGGACAAAGCTACGAAGTACGAGTCACCTAATATACTTATCAACATTTACCTTGGATGTATGCTATCGATTAAAAGTTTGTGATCGTTATGAACTCGACAACTCTCTGATCTTGAATTGGATTTTCAGATAACCTGATTGTATGAGTAGAATATATGATTGGTGAGGTTTTGACTGAACTAAAATGAATTTTACTCTCTTTTCAGTTATTATTAGTGAAGTCGAAGCGTTGTTCGAGCTGTTTAAGAGCATAAGCAGTTCTGTGATTGATGATGGGCTTATAAGTAAGGTATACATTACAATATTACCATGTTAGCTTTGAGTATATTCTGTTGCCTTGTTGCTTGTGTCATCTTTGTGAGGCATGTGAAACTTCTGTTTCATATTCATGTGTATGCTGAAATCCCCTGCAAGGTTGTACTACTTTATAAGGTTTTATTTATTCAGCTTAAGGTGTAGTAAAGATTCACTAAGATTTTAAGGCCATTTTTATAGTGTCAATTAGATGTTGACTATGAGCTTATACAAATCTTGATTCAACCCCAAATTCTGACAAACATGTCTGAATTTAGGGTTTGGAACAAGATTGTTCTACCCGAAATCGAATATGCAACATGATGTAACTGAATGATATTGGATCCTTAATTTCAACCAGAAACTGAACGAACCCAAATTATTGGTAATTAATGTGTCCTAGTGTTTGACTTGTCTGATATTGCATAATTAGAGTTGGGTTTTGATTCTTGTACTGTAGCTTCTCGATTGCATCCTTAATTTCTGTATATCCTGTGCATATGAAATATTTCTGGACTATGTATGGCTTTTCCTTACCATAGTATAATAAATGTATGTTTGTAGGAGGAATTTCAGTTAGATTTGTTCAAAAACAAGAAGAAAGAGAATCTTTTTGCTACTCGGGTATGTTGCTACTGATGTTGTACATTGATGACACTACACCTTCAGCTATATTCTTCTTTATTTGTTTTTCATTTGATAGTTTGTGTCCGTAAATATTATGTTATACCCTTAATAACTGTGAATCCTTTTGTACACAGATCTTTGATTTGTTCGATGTTAAAAGGAAAGGAGTAGCTGACTTCGGTGACTTCGTCAGAGTGTTGAACGTCTTCCATCCTAATGCCTCCCAAGAGGATAAGATAGACTGTATGTAACCTTGTTTTATACAAAGTCTCTCTAACATCGTCCTACATATTGTATATCTGAAACCTAGGTCATGTATATCTATTCACACTCATCCTTTTTCTATTGCAGTCACATTTAAGCTTTATGACGTGGATGGCACAGGATATATTGACCGCGACGAGGTATACTGGGTTTGCTATCCCCTAATCCTCAATCCTCAGCTTTCATTTACAATCTTTGATGTCTGAACAATGTATTGTTTTACTTTGCAATACTGTGGACCCTGATTTGAGGGATCATAAATTTGTGCAATATGGTTGTCGGCCGGTCATATAACCTTGTATGATCATTGTGCACTAAACTATAGTGATTGTGGAATTAAATTAAACTAGTGATAAAACAGGTGCTTCAACACCAACGTTTTTTCAATTCGCAAGTGCTATTTGGTGTGATGCTTCGCTTGGTGATCCTTTAGGTTGCATAGAAGTGCCTTTAATATCTTAGTTGTTCTAGTATGCACTTGATCATAATTCTACATGCTTTGTAAAAGTACACTTGTATACCTTGCATGTTAGCAAGTTTGTTATAATATTCATATGAGCTGATATTTATTATTTTGCAGGTGAGGCAAATGTTGGTCGCAATTCTATGTGAATCTGAACTGAAGTTGGCAGATGAAATAATCGAACAAATACTTGATAAGGTAAGGTTAACACATTTCCACATGTGCTGTATTCTTTGAACTTATTGCTGGTTTGCGGAGATCTATATTAAAGAGTATGCAAATCCATAAATAAAATGCTAATGTGCAGTTGTTAATAAACTTTTGTTTTAAGACTGAAAATACTCAAAACTGTACCAGTACTGGCCAAACACGATCTAAGACCTGATATTAATTAGTCCGATCGTTCTCCCTGCCAAGCACAATTTATTTTTAGATGCTATGTTGCCTAAAGTCTTACATTATTGTTGCAGGCTACTTTAACAATCATGAGGCGACTGTTTCAACTCTCACTTCAAATGGTTGGCTAAAAACGGGGGATGTGTGCTATTTTGATGAAGATGGCTTATGGTTTTCAATTGATCCTTTGTCTGAAATATGCTAGTTAAATGAAATGCAAGAAAGGTACTCAGAGATAAGTCTGGATTATTTTATTTTTTGGACAAAAATTGTAATATTACAGCCTTTTTTAATGAAAATAATGTAATTATATATATATGTTAGTGTTTCTATATCATTTTAAGTGAAAAAATGCAAAATATATAAATATATATATATATATATATATATATATATATATTTTTTTTTTTTTTCTGGGGCATTAAGGGCAACGGTTTTGGTTTTGAACCGGTGCCAAAAAAATTTATTAGCACCGGTTTTGAACCGGTGCTAATGTTCTTTTTTTTAAGCATCCCTCAAATCTACACCAGGTTAAAACCGGTGCTATATGGGGGTTTTGAATCGGTGCCCTTTTATATTTTTCTACTAGTGGAAGGTTTTATTGATGCAGGTACTTTCCAAAAGAGCAAGCAAGCAAGCAGGAACTGAGAAGGGAAGGATAGAAAAGGTGGTCAAGGAGTACCTCAAGGCTTTCGAGGCAAAGATTGCAAAAATTTTCGGAGTGCCAAAGCCCATGGAGGATGAAACTGCAGATGGCTCCATCAAGTCACCCTTCTCAAAAGAGATCGCCATGGTAGAAGTGCCAAAAAAGTTCAGTATACCCAGCATGGCCATGTACGACGGTACAACAGATCCTGATGAGCACGTGTCCCTCTACAATTAGAAAATGATGACCAACTCTATCCCAGAGACATCAGGGAGGCAATCATGTGCAAAGGCTTTGGATCCACCTTGTCAGGTCCAGCCCTAACTTGGTTCATTAATTTAGATAATGGGACTATTTGATCTTCTAATGGAATGGTCAACCTATTCAAAATCCAGTTTGCTACCGGTAGAAAGATTGAGAAGCAATCTTCGGATCTGTACATAGTCGTGCAAAGTCATGGAGAATCTTTGAGAGATTACCTTAACAGGTTTAATAGGGAGAAGATTGGAATACACAAATGTGATGCTCCGACAACTATTGAAGCTTTTAGAAGAGGACTATTGGACCATAGCGAGCACTATAAGGAAATAACCAAAGATCCCTACACAACTTTCGAAGATGTTCAAGCTAAAGCAATGGCCCAAGTCAGGTTCGAAGAAGATGTCTATGCAAGAAAGACAAGAAAGACTCCCGAGCCAGATCGTTCGTCAACAAGGAGCAACAACTTCCCAAGAAGGGATCATAAATTCAAGCCTTATCCGCGATCTCGCTTTGAGGAGGAAACAGTCAATGTTGTCGAGGGAGAATTAAAAGATTGGAGGGAAGATCCTCAACTCCCTCCTAAATTACATGAATATTGTTTTAATGTTAACCCTGCAGGTGTGATTAGGACCCTGAACAAAATGGGAGATACCGTGCAATGGCCTAGGAAGAGCGACAAGCCAGGATAAAAGAAAGATCCATTGAGGTGATGTGACTTCCATTCAGACATTGGTCACACTACTGATGAATGTGTGGCGCTCAGAATGGAGGTTGCCTACTTGCTGAAGAAGGGGTATCTCAAGGAATTCATGACGGACAGGTCCGAAGCTCCGGGTAGAGAAAGAGAGTCCAATCAAGGTGGACCCCCGCCTCCTCCTCAAATCGTCAAAACAATCAATTTCATCTCCGGAGGATCAGAAGTGTGAGGTTTGACGCACTCAGCAGCAAAGCGTAACACCAAAGAAAGTAACATGAACAAGCCAGCCAAGAAGGTGCAAGCAAAGATAGACGCTCCAATCATATTTGAAGAAAGTGATGCAATGGAAGAGCACCATGATGGCCTAGTAATATCACTCTTAGTCGGAAACTGCTTAATCAAGAGGATCCTAGTTGACAATGGAAGCTAAGCCAACATCATTATACTCGATACAGTGAAACATATGAACATTAACGAGAAAGACATCATCAACAAGTCAACGATGCTGGTAGGATTTAGTGGAGAAACTAAGAAGACCATTAGAGAGATTACATCATCAACAAGTCAAAGAGCACCATGATGGCTTAGTAATATCACCATGATTATGTTCTCTCTATTAAATCTTGTTATTGGTTTTGCTATTATGTGTGAGTAGATTCATAATCCGGCATCTTGCAAAGCCCGGATATGATTAATGCTTAGATTTAATCTTTAATTTCTCCAATAATATTTCCAAGTGACATTCTTGATTGATTGTGTTTATGCCAATACTAGATTAGGAAGAATTAGTATTGTTATCATCCCTTTGTTCTTATTGCAACGGAAGTTGAACATTAACGGGATTTGGGTATTTCAATTAAGGGTTTGAAGATCATCACGGAAGTAGATGATAGAATGATTCTGAAAGTTAAGTATTGTGTTTAATGTCCCTTATTTGCTTGATTACATGGAAATAGGCTTGATAGTTGATTTGGGAAGCCATTGATAACTCGGAAGAGACCTTTGGTATTGATTAGGGAATGCTTTTCCTCTTGTCGATTGAATTGTTATTAGGGGTAGAATTATTTATGCATTGATTATATATTCGTGGTAATGCTTGATCTTGGATGCTTTAGTTCATTGATTTATCACTTCCTTTAGATTTAATTGAGTCCTTTAATTATTAGTTCTTAGAAGTTCATCGCCATTGATTTGTTACTTGCCTAGTGATTATTTGAGTCTATTTAATTAGGTGAACCTTAATCTCTTGAGATTCGATCCTTACTTTCCCGTTTACATAGTAGTGGTCTCGTTAGGTTTATTTTTGTTAGGTACGCGATACGCCTACTAGGGAGAAGCCATCCTCCCAAGTCTCCAACCGTCCCTGAGGTCAGCCGACCTCATAAGGAGAAAGAAGTGGCAGCTGAAGGTATCAAAAATTTTAATCCCTTGCCTTACCCCTGTAGGGTCAAGTTCAATCAGCAGTCGTCTATTACCTCTGAAAACAGTCGGTCTATTGGCCGAGTTTACACCAAGTACTTAAAAAATGTTAATTGTGCAGATACCCCTCAGAGGCCAGATCTTAAACAGCTGGCCAAGACCATGTTGAGAGTCGTCTCCCTTGAAGACAGGGAGTCAGTCGGGGAGTCGGCACCCTTAACTTGGATGCAATCCTCGCCCTTCTAGCTAAGGTATCGTTGTAATTTTTACTTCCTTTTTCTCTTAGGGCAGCCTGTTACTAATGATCTCTTTTGCCGAATGCAGTCTATGCTGCGAGTGCACGGTCTTCACAGGCCCATCAATGAGAAGACCAAGGAGATAAAAGCTGCGAATGCTCATTCCGCCTCTTCTCATGATAAGGCCATGTTTCATATTGCTCAAAATAAAATATTGACGACTGACATACTACATTCACAGGCGACCGCCAACCTACAGGTCAAGGCTGACTTGGACGTTGCGAAGAAGCGGGTCTCTGAGCTGGAGTAGCAGGTCAAGGACCTCAAGGCCAAGCTCGAGCCTCTCAAAGAGGCAAAGAGGGAAGCAGACAGCCTTCGTACTCACGTTGACAAACTAAAACAGTGGTTGGCTAACCAGGAAGTCCAGCTCGCCAAAAAATACACTTCTAGAGCCGAGGAGGAAAAGTAGGCCTTGGTCAAAGACATGATGGACGACTGCAACATCATCATGGGGATGACCTGGGCGGCTCTTTTTTCGGACGCCATCTATGAGGGCTGGAATAATCAGTTTGCCGCCTCTACTCAAGAGTACAATGACAAGATCATGGGCCAAGCCCAAGATGGAGAAGAGGGGGAGGGCGAGTCGTTTTATTCCGCATCCAGGGGGACGGACCAGGAGGAGGAGGAGGCGGATGCCGAAAAAGACTAACAGCCGACCGGGGAACAAAAGGATGCGGATGCTGATGCTGAACAGCCCCCTCATGCTGCTTAAGCCTTTCTTGTTTTTATTCAAACTTTCTTCGGCCTGCGTGCCGCATGCTCTGTTTGTATCTTTACCGATCGAGGGGTCGGGTTTATTAACAATTTTAACTCTTTTTTTGTCGGGCATCTGGCCGACTGTTAATATGAATCATCCTGCAATTTTGGCCGGCTTCTCCAATTTGTACTTGCGTAAAATTTTTGCATTTCTTGGTATAAGTAAGTTGCTTTTTTCATGAATGCTGATTTCTTTATATACCGACTGTTCTTGCCCCTGGGCGACTGTTCGCCTGGTTTCAAAAGGTGAATTGATTGGCTTGGGAATTTTTGATACTTTACGGAGTATGACTAATTTCTAAGTCAATCAATCACAATGGTGATTACCACAAACCAGGCGGTCAGTCGACCAATGCATAGGCGACCATACAGCATTATCTGGCTCTCGGCCTTAATATAGTTCTTTAGACGAACCACGCTTTGCTTCGTAAACCTAAGTAGGAAAAGTGGCCGAATACCGTCTGGTGTCAATAAGGAAGGTGGTTTCATTCGTACCTTTTAGGTCCCATTTTAGGTTTTAAATGTTAACAACTATAAGTAAAGTCTTTGTCGCTTGATTTTAAATGTATAGACGGCAAAAGGCCGCATGTGATTGCTTCGCATGTTTTGCTGCTAAGTGTTAGACTTAGCTTATTTATGCAATTTAGCTGCTAAATATTTAACTTAGCTTATATCCTCAAATTTAGCCAACTGTGTTGCCCCTGAGCAACAATAACCGGTATCCGACTTAGATATTATAGATTACCGCAGGTTTTAAAGAAATCGGTAGTCTTTGTTATTCTTGTCTTATTTGATCAGTTCAGAGCAATGTGCCACCCAAATGGGAGATGCTCTCTGCGACGAATTCACCCAAATGGATGTCGCCGGACGCCTGCTCATGTTGGGACAGACGTATTGTTTTAATCATATATCATCCGGCCATTGGCCTTAATAGGTTGTTAAAAAGAACAACTCATAGCTGTTAAGTTTGTTAGACTTAGCTTATATTTACTCATGTTCGGGTAGACAAATTTTTTATATATTAAAGGTCATTGGGCCATCGGCCTTAGTCAGATCATCTGTCCATGGGCCTCATTAGGTTTTCTAAAAGGAACAACACATAGCCACTAAGTTTTTTAGACTTAGCTTAAATTTGCTCATGTTGGAGCAGTAATTTGAAATATTAAATTAGGCCTCTTGTACATTATATAGACGGTACCATGAGAGAAATACATTAAAAGTTAACAACGCAACTTCCATTGATACTTAAGTACAAAATAAGATTACAAGTCTTAGAAGTAGTACTTTTTCAAGTTGTCTACGTTCCAAGTTCTGGCTAGATGCCTGCCGTATGGTGTTTCCAGGCGGTAGGCGCCGCCTCTTACTTCTTCATAGATCCGGTATGGGCCTTCTGAATTGGGAGTCAGCTTTCCCTGCTCATTGGCCCTACCAATCGCCTCCATTTTTTGCAGCACAAAGTCCCCTACTTTCAAGGGGCACCTGTGCACTCTTTTGTTCTAGGCTCTCGTCATTCTCATACGGTAGATCTCATGGCGCAAGGCTGCATTGCCCCTGCGTTCTGGGAGTGAGTCCAAGCTAGCCGCATAGCCTCCCAGCTAGCCTCATCGTCATATAACATGACTCGAAGAGTCGGCTCATAGTGCTCAATAGATAGACGACTTCTGCCCCATAAACCATGAGAAATGAGGTTTCACCAGTCACCTTTTTTTCAGTCGTTCTGATGGCCTACAGAACATGTGGTAATTCGTCAGCCCATAGGCCGCCAACTCTTTCTAATTTCTTCTTAATGCCTTCTGAGATTAACTTATTGAAGGATTCAACCTGGCCATTTGCTAGGGACATAAAAATAAAACACCTAGAGGTAATCTCTGACTCTTTACTCATTGTAAACAAATTTAACGGTGAATATGCACCAAAAGATGCCTAAATGGTTGCATACCTGGAGGTAGTAAGGAGCCTCACAAAGGAATTTGAAGAATTCAAAATCGCACAAGTACCCAAGAACTTGAACACTAAGGCGGATGAACTAGCCAACCTTGGATCCAATATTAATCCTGATGAGTTCAGAGCAATACCGTTGGTACATATCATGTCTCCAGCCATAGAAAAAGAATCAACCATGAACGTCTATGAAATCCAAGCAGACCCTACTAATGAAGAAGATAGTTGGACCAAACCCCTCAAAGATTTCCTCACTAACAAAGTAACACCAAAAGGGAAGGTAGCTGCACAAGCTTTCGCCATGAAAGCATCCAAATATTGCCTTATCAGCAACGTACTCTTCAAAAAGTCAGCAGCTGGTCCATACTTAAGGTGCTTGGAGAAACAAGAAGTACAACAGGTCTTACAATCCCTACATATCAGAGAGTGCAGGAATCATTTAGGAGGAAGGAACTTAGCCAACAGAGCCCTCAAAATGGGGTATTATTGGCCCAGCATGAGAAACGACGCTGCGGAATTCACTAAATGTCAAAAGCACGCACCATTGACTCATCAACCATCCGTAGAACTGTATTCAACACTGACACCGTGGCCATATATGAAATGGGGAATAGATATAGTTAAATTACCTCCCTCATCAGGGCAAAGAGTATACTTCTTGGCAATGACAGACTACTTCTCCACATGGATTGAAGCCGAGGCATACAAGGACATCAAGGACAAACATGCCATTTCATTCATCAAAAGGAATATTTAGGGTAAAAATACCCTATGCCACGTGGCCCAGTAGTATGATGACATGTGGCAGCCCACCAGAGGCCCAACGGGATCCAATTGGATGCTGACACGTGGCAATATACCCCCAATGGGGGAGCAGATCCTCATCTGCTATAAATAGGGGAAAAATCCTCATTTATTACCGATTCATAAATACATACACAAAACCCGAGCAATATTAATTGCGGAATCTCTCTGAATCAGGGAGAAATACACATTTACTTTTCGCACGCTTACTCATCCGGAATCCTACTAACTTGATCTTCGGAGGCGGAACTCCACCCAACCGGAGTTTCGTGGTTTTGCAGGTACAGATGTCAGGCGCTCATATCCAGTATTGTAACTCTCCCGAGGGACTAAAAACACCCGAAACATTTGGTGCCGTCTGTGGGGAGAGTACTACTGTGATGGCATCTGATGTTGTACCGAATGCAGAGGGCAGCTGGCCTACGGCTGACCCTGAGGTCCATACGGACCATGAAAGTGGAAGTGGTGACGACTATGATGTCGACACATATATGGCCCCAGACGGGTCATTCCGTTCAAGACGCACCTGTTCCAAAGTAAAGAAGGAAAGGGGTCAGGACAAAGCTTATCCCAACAACCCAGGCGGCAAGCACCCTGGACAACCCCAGGCGGCGGAGGGTGCTGCCCCCGTCACCAGAGA